TCTTGTGAATTGAATTGATTCATTCCAGGAGCTTCACAACATTTTTGCTTGCCAGGACACAAAGCATCTGGACCACGACATGTCTGTAAACCATCACCCATTATTGGCCAATAATCTGGACATTTGTTTGGTTTTGGAGTAGGATCAACATGAATAGATGGATCAGTAATACATTCACTCTTAAACCCACATCTTCCTTTAATAGCACATGGTTCATATTCTCCTGTAATACATTTTGTTCCTAGAGGACATGAAGCTGAAAGACATGGATCCGATGCACATTCACAAACAGTACATGGTGATGAACCCACTTTTAAACCAAATGGACATTCAAGTTTACATGGCTCAGTGAATTCAGGACATGGAGCAAAACATTTCATACCATCTGTCAATGGACAACATTTATAATTCCATGGACAAACACTATCATCTCCTTCAGTTGAACATGGTAAACCACTTGAAACATATTGTGGTTGAGGACATCGACCATCTCGCGTCGTAGCAATTACATCTGTATTTAACGATATAATGGCAACAAGTATTAGAAGTAACATTTTTATTCAATCTTATTCTTGCAACTAAAATGAAGACAAGAAAGTCACTTGCAAAGCAACATAAATATTTGTAATGTGAAAGAAAAACAGGTGATAAGGATCACTATAGTTTAAAGCCAGAAAGTAAAGAGAAAAATCGAATATTTGTGTTCTCTAGTTGGCATGGTGTGTCACAATTATATCGTATTCATTTATTGAAAAAAAGAAACTATTAAGACTCATTCTAAATGCATACAGTACTTATTCACGTCGTCCCGCTCTCTTTCTGATAATAATACTTATCCTACTCTCTTTTCTTTTCATCTTGAATATAGAATCAATTGATCGTGATTTATTTAGTTCTTATACATTATCGTACAATTATTATTTGCTCTAATCTTAGTTTTCTTTATTTGTCTTGAGAAAGAGGCTTGTTTAGATTTGCTAAAAAAGAAATTAACAAAATTTCTATTAGTGTAAATTTGAAAATTGCTGGATAGACATAAAATATTATTTTGCTTTTACAAGATTCTTTTATTTATTCGTTGAAGATGAAGTAAAAAAAAATCGATTTCTAATTTACAATAAAAGTTTTCTATATATTTGTTTTAGTAGAAAAATGCATTGATCAGAAGAATCGACTATTAGCATAGTGTGTAAATCTTCCGTTTGATAGCAACATATTTGTATAATCTTGTTCTGTCCTATGTCTTTCAATCTGCTTGCATATTAAAGTAGTTTAGCTCTGCAAAATGTTCGTACATATCTCATGTTATTTCTATTCATTGTTTTATGTGCTTTTTCTTTAAGCATAGATTAATTGTAATCAGTATTATGTTTGCTTAGACCTTATCATAAGTGCAGAGTAAAATAACTATAGATAAGCAAAAAAAACAACATTGATCAACAAATTTTAAAAGAAAAAAGAATGCAACATAATCTATTGTCGTGAAGCTAACTAAAAATTACAATTGATTGTGCACATGTAATAATATAAAATTGAAAATGTCTATAAAGATTCTTAAACTTTCAAAAGGACTTGTAACTTTTTTTATTAAAAAATATTACTGAACCTGCAATATATGGTTCAAATTCAAAAAAATAACGTATTGCTTTACAACAAGATCAATATTAAATAAAACTTATAAAAAACTTTGTTTTTCACTAATAAAATAATTGAAAACACAAAACAACAAATGATTTTTTGTTACAATAAAACAAGGATTATTATGAAATTCTGTCTTTATTACAACATTATTTATCGAACACTTGAATCTATCTTTAAAATAATTTTTTTAATTGCAACAATGAATAAACTGATTATTTATTGAGTCATCAATTTTTTCCTCAATCGACAATGAAATTAAACATGTATGGAATAATCTAATAAATGAAAAAAGATTAGTAAATATTAATTTATCAGAATATTATTTGTTCTTCTTCTTAGATAATTATTTGTCTATGTCTCTGTATGCATTAAATTTTCTAACATGTATAAGATCACACGATCTAAAGAATACGTATAGACACATTTTATTTTTCACAGTATATTCATAGTGTTGATCCATTAAACTGTACCTACTTCTTTCTTTTTGTTTCGTTTTCATTTACTAGAATACTTTCCCATACGTAAATCATCTTTATTAGTTCGCAATTTATTGAATTATTTAGTAGTGTCCTTCACGGGTATGACTTTTTGCAATCGAACTTGCATCGTCAGGTTTTTTGCATCCGAATCCGAACTGA